GTGTAAACATAGTTAATTTTTTGCTTCTTGCATGTTTATTCAATATTTTTGCTAATTATATTTTTGATGTTTTTAGCATTGGAAAAAATGGTATAGAATCACTTCTCACTCAAAAATTACTAGTAAATTTCACAGTTAATTACAGAGAAACAGCAAGTAACACATTGAATTAAACATGACATTTTGAAATAGAAAGACTGAAATAGTATTTTTTTGTAAACCCTCCAAAAATCCTTGTTTTATTTTTGAAAAATCTTTTTTTTTACAGTGTATCAATGAGAGTCTTAGTTGAAGACATTTATTTATTTATTTAATTAATTTTTGTTTTGTTTTTTTGCTGATTTTACTTCAAAATAAGCACAGAAATGTTAGAAAACCCAGCAAAATCCATCTGAGCCTGCTTATTTTTCACATCTCTAAAGCTCCTTCAGTCGGTCAAGCAAAAGCATACTTTAATCTCAGTCTGTGCAGATCGATTTCACAATGTTATCAAGTGCCTATCAGCCCCATTTATAGACACCCATACAAATATTTAGTGTGCCCGCCGTGACATGTCTGGCCCTCCACAGTGGATGTCGAGTTTCAGCCCTGCCCAAATGCACACACACTCTGACACTGCTAAAAGAGCCTGTGTTCTGTCAGTCCAAAAGGGAACATATGTTTCTTTCTTTTCATCGTTAGAGAGAGAGAATGAAGAGAGGGAGGAAAGGAAGGAAGCTGGGCGTATCAGTTGATCAGTGTGAGTATGAGAGCCGAAAGTGTGCCGAGAGGGCCTCTGTGTACACGCTCCACTCACAGAAAGTATGGACTCGAATGAATGATGATGATAGCTATACTGTTTATATCACAGTATTTATTGGGCAGGATGATTTTACACTATGTGAGAGTGCCAATGAAACTTTAAGTAATGCTAAAACAGAGCAGGACATGTCCCAAATGGGTCAAGATGAGAAATACTTTCATATTAAAGAGTGCACCACAAGTTTCGTCATTTGTAGTTGTTCTTTTTACACTGAATTTCTGGCGAAAAATAGTTGTCTGTGTTTGCATGTCAGTCTGTGCATCTGTGGTATAGATTAGTGATGGGTCGTAAGGAAAATAAAAAAAAGTTTAGTTCATTGCAATTGTCACATGAAGAAAGAAAGAATTGAAAGGTGAATTAATTATTTATGTTTCTTGTAATTTATCTTTTGCTGAATTTTTTATGATGTTCTAAATTGGAATATGATGAAAGATTGTTTGTGAACTTGTACAGGGAATTTGCATATTGAAAAAAAAATCACATCTAACTTCGGTCAAATTAAGTAAATGATTAACAATTTCTTAATTTTGGCTGTACAAGATCAAATGAGAGAGTCGGTCAAATTATCTGCTCTTCCCATCATTAGTGTGCTTTCAGTCACAATTTTTTTTTTACGCTATTTACTTCATGTTGATGTTATTTTCTATGTGTACCTTGTAAAGCACTTTGGGCAACTTAGTTGTATTTATATAGTGCTATATAAATAAAGAAAGAAAGAAAGTCACTCTTTCTTCAAGTTTCATTATTACGCCAGTAGGTAGCGACGAGTTACTGTCCATTCCAATTCATGAATGAGTCACTGAATCATTAATTCAAATTATGTTTTATTCAGAAACTACACTCTAAAAAATGCTGGGTTGTTTCAACCCAACTTTGGGTCAAATATGGACTAACCCAACTTTTGGTTTAAAAATTGAATGTAAAAATTTAACCCAACGGTTGGGTTAGTCCATATTTGACCCAACGTTGGGTTGAAACAACCCAGCATTTTTTAGAGTGTACTCAAGTAACTTTCTTTATGAGTGTTCGTCACTGAATCATTAATTCAAATGATTTATTCAGAAACTACTCAAGTAACTTTCTTTATGAGTGTTCATTGAATCAGTTACTCGACCATTTCATTCCAAAACATTGATTAATTCAGGAACCATTTCAAGCGACTGTCTTTATGTGTCATTAAATCATTGATTCTGCCAGGTAAATGTATGTATGTATTTCAAAATAAACTAAACTAAATCTCACTAAATTATATAATCTGATAAAAAAAAGACACTACTTTTGGCAAATTACCATTTCAGTACTACTTATTATTCTAATTTTACCTATCACACGAAAAATAATGCATACTCTAAACCATGCTAAAAAAAATAAATGTGTGTGAGGATGAGATTTTCATTGCATTTAGGACTTTATTATAAGAGTGGTGTACATGCATATTGTGTATATCATAATGTGTCTGTTGCAGTTGTGCTGAGTTCATCCCAGATCATTTCCCCATGACATGTGCGTGTATGTGTGTGTATGAGAGGGATGCACTCATTATTAATTAGTGTGTCTGTGTGTGTCCTGTGGTTATGATATCATTCTCACAAAAAGTCAACATTCCTGTCTAAGTGCCCCTTACCTATGAAATATTCATTCATCCATAATTCAGACAGGGTGAATGTAGGCAGGGCAGATGTAGGGTTTGACCCCACAACCATCCAGGAGAGAAACTGTCCACGCTAGTGCCTGAGCAGATAGGGTTTAACTGTGTAACTTTTCAAACTGCAGTAAGAAAATAGACATTATATCACACTATTGTGACTTACAGTAAGACTACAGCTTAGTAAAAGTTACTGCATGAGGCTGAATATGTCATATTTACTACTAATCCTTACATTTGACTTGGTTGCACTTTCATACCTCAGAAGCTGCAGTGGAGAGATATCAGTTGTTTTGCATTTAAGCATCAACTTTGTTTCAAATTTTCTACTGAAATGTATTCAGAGAAATAAAAATAGACACAAATGAGACCTACAGTAAGAGAGGAGCTAGAAAATGAATGTGGATAGCAGCTCAGATCATTTGATGAGTAATTGAATTGACGTTTGATTGCACTTCAAACTTCTGCAGATGTACTGCAGATTTCTGCAGTCCTTTTCACAAGAGAAACATCGGAAAAGTTGGAGAACAAAACGTCTCTATATGGATTTACCTTATATGAAGGATTTAGCATTCACTCAGAAATTGCTAATACATTTCACAAATAATTACAAAGAAATGGCTCATATAATTAAATAGAAAATAGAATAGAAAAATAATTTAATCTCATTGCAGTCTAGGAGAAACAACTAAGAAATTATGGTTTCCTTTCCTCTGGGATTGTTGTTTTGTGTATCTCACACTTCATAAACAAACCAAAAAGTACCAAAATGACTGTTTACCATTTAAATCAAATCAGAGAGGGAGACAGCAGCAACAAATGGAGGGAGCGATAAACTGACAGAAATATTACCCCAGGGGTACAAAAACGTGGAGTGATGGATTGCCCTTGGGTGAAAGAGAGGGCAAGAACACACAAAATCCATATCACAGCGTCTGTTATCCCTCTATATCTGAATAAAATATTCAAATACAGCCATTACTCCACATTAAAAACCACAAAATGTTCACATGTTCCTCACACTGATAGTCACATTAAACTCATCCATTAGAGCCGACCAGACTACACATATTTGGTAATGATGATGATTGTGTGTGTGTGTCTGTGCGTGTGTGTAATGGCTATGGCAACTTATTGTCTGTGATAAGCCCACTCACACACACAGTCACTGATGTTTTTCTTGGTGATTTCCTCTGTGGATTATCAAGCATTACGTGAGTCATGACTGAGTACACAGCTCTGTCTTAAAGCCATAAGCTCTTTTTCAGACCCTTTTTACCCAATATTTGTGTAATTCTATGCTTATTAGAACATGATGTTGTTAGTTTTGTGAAACACTGATGTCAAATTTTATTGGGATCATTTGTGAGTGCGTCTGCTCCTGTGTGAGTTTCTGTCTATGTGAAGCATTCCAAAACAGGTTCCATTAGTTAGTTAGGATTTTAGTGTTTATATTAAGTTGTTATGTGAAAATCTGCCAAATTGTTTACTGCATTTGTAGCATGTCAGTTATTTCAGTTACTTCAGTTACTTATTTTTAATTATAAAAATAAATAAATAAATACCAAAAAAAAATGAATACTTTTGCATTATACCCTACCATTCAAAAGTTTAGTCAGTAAGATTTCTTTAAAAAAAATTAATACTTTTATTCGTCAAGAACATTAAACTGATCAGAAGTGACAGTAAAGACATTGTTACATAAAATTTCCATTTCAAATAAATGCTGTTCTTTTGAACTTTCATCAAAGAATCCTGAAAAAAAAATATCACAGTTTTCACAAAAATATTAAGCAGCACAACTGTTTTCAACATTGATAATAATAATAATAATAATAAATGTTTCTTAAGCAGCAAATCAGCATATTAGAATGATTTCTGAAGGATCATGTGGCACTGAAGACTGGAGTAATGATGCTGAAAATTCAGCTTTGATCACAGGAATAAATTACATTTTAAAACATATTCAAATAGAAAACAGTTATTTGAAATTGTAATAATATTTCACAGTTTTGCCGTTTTTACTGTATTTTTAATCAAATAAAAATCTTACCAATCCCAAACTTTTGAATGGTAGGTTAAAAGTTGTTATGAGACTTGTGTGATGGAATTTCTTACAGCCTTTGATATCCAATCTTTCAATTTATTAATGCCTGTAAAGCCGGTAAACCCTGTAACATCCACATAATATGTGCATGATACCAGAAAGGGAATGTTTACATAAAGAAACTCCACTCTCAGGAATCATATATATTCTGGTTATCAATAAATAACCAGAAAGTTAATGTGCGTAAACACAATGACCGGACAGTGTTACGTTACATGTTTTTTCCTTAATTAGTCATTAAAGTTTCACATTTCAGCTTTTAACTGACACTGGCTTGATTTACTCCAAAATTGAGTATGTTTACTGTAAACATTCATGACAATGAAAAATGTTATGTTCTGGTTTATTGTGCCACCATCATTCTGATTTATTATGCTTAACTTTGTATCGAATCTGGGATATTGCTATCATAATAACCCAATGCATTTCTCTCCATCTCTCTGCAGGTCACCGAATGAAGCCGGACGACCCTCATAAGCAGTTCACCGATCGCATGAGTGACATCGAACGTTTCCAGAGGGCCAGTCTGAGGATGAACCCTGGCAACGGGACCACCCGCTCCCACCAGACCCATTACAACCCCTCCAACACCACACCAATACCAGGTGCGTGTTTTGTCCCTGGATGCCCTACAGATCCAGTGTATGTGTTTGCTTGAGTCAGACGTTCAGACTCATCACAACAACTCGCACCTCGATGTCTGGAATCTAGCAACCCCTCTCAATCTCGGCTCCCACGTCAGCGTGTGCGATAGTGGCTGAGGATACGTTCTCAGATGCATATAAAGACCTTTGAGCATGATGTCTGCTAGCAAACCAGCAAAACTCTCACACTCTCAAAAGCACGTATGCACTTCGCTCGCAGTCTATCTTTCTATTTTCAAATAGCCATACACACCTTTTTTAAACATGCCTTTACTCATACTTTTAATCAATTTAATGCATCCGTGCTGAATAAAAGTAAACATTTTTATACAGTATATATAAAACAACATATCATTTTGTTTTGTAAGGCATTAAATAAAATAACTTGTGTCTGGTTAGGACATAATGTAATGGTCAACCGGAACCCATAAAAATGTGGTTACTTTCGTAACCTTCATTACTGATGAGCAGTTTATCCACAATAAGCCAGTGAATTTGAGGCACTGAATGTTTCGCTGGTGTTTTTGTTTGGGGTTTTTGGTAAATTCCTCCATCAGATTGACCTGATTTCTGAAGGTTGACACTTACACAAGCATTCCTGCAAAACCAAAGCCGTGACTCATCCAGAGCTCAGCACGAGAAGAATGGGAGATTTACGCTTACCACGTCAGGAGTGTGCTTGAGCGGGTTAAGCACATCTAGTATCCATATCTGCAGGTGGATTAGAAGAGGAATTATGTCTTCATGGTGCTGTCAGAGACCAAGACTGCCGACACACACACACACACATCTGAAGCAGACATAACACATTAACAGAGATTTAGCTGTCGGGAGACTGCTTGTCTGTCACTGCTGTAGGCCCATGTGAGTGCGTGTGATACATCAAAACCTCACTGTCTGATATTAGCATAGTTATCTCTCACCTCAGGGCACTGTGTCTCTGGCTGTCTGTCTCTCTCATCGTCCCAACTTCATCTTTATGCCTAAGTCTCAACACTTTCTGTCAGACAGCTCTGTGTGGTATGAGGTTTGCAGACAGACATGTGTAAGATAGACATGTTTAATCAGATTTATCACACTCATCGCAGGGTAATTAGATGGTCTCTCATTCCACCTGAATGATGTAAACTGTGTGTGGTGTGGTGTGGTGTGTGTGTGTGTGTGTGTGTGTGTGTGTGTGTGTGTGTTAATTGCATCATCCTGGAGTCTTGAGGTTAGCAGATTGTTGATGACTGTAAACAGATATTAAGTTACAAAATTCACAGCACAAACACAGACATGGTTCATACTTAAACAGATTTGTCAAGCACGCAGCGCCGTCCCACAAACACACACGTACACACACCTATTGTCATGCCGGTGGAACAGGGAAGCGAATTAAAGTTGGCTTTAGTTAACATGCAGCGACACGCTTCAGACAGAAATAAAGACAAATGAGGAATAAACGAAAGAAAATGCAGAGGGAGTTTAATGAAGAGAAAAAAGAACAAGCACACAGAGATGCGGGCAGAGCTGTGTGTTTATTTTGGCAGCGTTTATTCATGCGCTCATGCATATCCCACACACTGCGGAACAGACACGCACATCAAATATGTCTGTGCAAAAGATTAATTATTTTGCATAAAGACAAGAAAGTCTACTTTATGGACCATTCATTGTTTTGTTTTGTTTTGTTTTTTTGCATTGTTACAATTTTTATGACATTCTCTCCCTGAAACTGCATGTAGGCATTTATGTTTATAATTTATGTTTTTATGTATATTCTTTTTAATTGTTTAAATTATCATATTTTTATATTCATATATAATTTATATGAATTATATTAATTGTTTTATTGAATAATTCATAATTTAATTTTTCCCTTAGTGTGCAGTATAAGACAGTCAGTGAACAGACAGTTGGTTTGAGTCTGAGACTACACGTGTTAGTGTGTGTGTGTGTGTGTGGACTTCAGAGAGTGTTGGAGTGTTTTAAGAACGTGTGGTGAAAGATCTGACAGGAAAACCAGACTTCATGGTGGCTGTGTTTGTTATTGCTGGTTCTGAGGAAAGCCTGCATTTCCACTCAGCGTTATACAGCTTTTCTTTCTCTCTCTTACTCTCTATTCTCTTATGTCCACAATCATACTATTTAAATGGACAGTATCTTTTTTAATAATATTTGATTAATGTTTTTATTTTTTTATTGCTATAAATGTATATTTTATATATACTTACAATAATAATATATATAAATACATATTTTAGAGCAGATATTACTATTAAGTTACATTGCTACTTTTAGTTAGCTTCTCCCCCAACATTAGTCCTCTCAGAGATGCACAAATCTCGCATATTGTACTGCTCACAGACTGTTTCTGTGTCATGCTGCTTTAATAATGGTAGAAATCTGTCTGTTATTGATGTTGTGTTTCAGCCAATCAAAATATTTGAGTGAGATGTTTATTTTCAGCAGAAGCACCAGCTGTGGCCTGAATAAGAGCATTTATACTAAAGAATTTATCATTGTGCGGTGAAAACCAGAGAGAGAGACTGAGAACTGCGTGTTATTAGTGGTGTTTGTGAAGACAAGCATCACTACTACTATTGCTCAAGATTTATTCAGACTCCTAACCTTAAGTATTAATCTTTGGAGTTACAGACATGAATGATACTTCAAATTAAAAACAAAATCCCATAGACTTGCATTGAAGGGACCCAAGCTTTTGTCCTGGACTAGTAATCAACAACCACAGACTACGTTTTGCATGGACAAGCACCGCTCACATTTTTCTCTGAAAATGTAAAAATCTACTCACATACGTCTCATATCTCATACGTGTATGTGTGTTTGTCGCAGCGATTAGCTTGTAACAACTATCTCATCTCGGTCTGAGAGCAAACAGGATTTATTTGCATGTCAAATTGGCAGTTCAGTGCACTGATACACACACACACACACACACACACACACACAAACATACTCTATAATTCCCAAAGTATCTTATTTTAGACTCGTGCAGCGACTGTTGTGGGTGTGTGAGAGAGACAGCTGCGTTTTAATGCTGACAGAGTGTCTTAAAGCGTTTGGATCATACACACATACAGGCGTCACACGCTAGAGATAAGATATCTGATAATCACACACACCTTTAACAGACACCCAAAATATCATTCCTCGTGACACACTGATACTTTTCTTGGCTCATCAGCAAAACAAAGTGTTCAGAGTTATCTACTCACACACACATGCTTTTTGACAGATGGAGTTCTAACATGTGTGTGTGTGTGTGTGTGTGTGTGTGTGTGTGTGTGTGTGTGTGTGTGTGTGTGTGTGTGTGTGTGTGTGTGTGT